GCAACGTCTAATGAAGAATGTAAGAGACTGAGGAGACCTAGTGTGTCCTGTGTTGATTTGTGAAGTGTTGTAGGATAGTGAGAGCATAATCCTTACTTGCAGTTACGAGTTGTAATAAGAGTTCAGTAAACCCAGTTGCTGATCCAAACCCCGTCTATAGTCACTAAAATCGTGTCAATACGTTTTGTAGTTTTATTAATGTAATCACGCTTAGTTTTACCGTATGGTTCTCAGCTGAGTGAAGTGAAGATCATCTTCAGATGTTTTGTGTAATTCTGTGGTGGGTTTGACGGGTGTGTCTGACTTATGTACATAGTACATGGCTTCTCCCTCGATGATGAGGGCTCCCCATTCAAAGCAGAGCCTAAGTCCTTAGTCTCACCCTTCCCGAAGAAGTCGGATCCCAGAATTGTCTTGCGTTGTCACATTCAACGCGGTTACAATTCCGCCATTAACCCAGGAACCGAGTTTGAACACTCGGAGACAAGGCCAGGCCAGTGTTTAGTTAAAAGGAATCTCGGATTCCATTTCGGGAAGTTATAACCTTAATTATCCTCCTGAGAATAGGGGAGGAGGATTGATCTTATACTGCAGAATCCCATTAGTACAGAAAGTCTCATTTCGAGTAAATAATAGTGTAAGGAACGCATAAGAAGAAGTGTAGGTCTATGCGATTCTAATGTTTATATAAATACAAGGCTCTTTCGATGATTTTATGGCAAACATGTTAGTGTGCTAAATATAATGTGACATGTAGAGCAGTTGCTGGGCAACGACTCAGTAAACATATTCCCGCGGCAAGGAATAAGAACCCTATGGAATTCCCCGGCCTGTTACAGGAATAGCTTTACTTTTTTACTTTAGTAAAAATAAATCGTTTGGCGAAACAAATTCCAGACTAGAAGATTATGTATATTTGTAAGAAAGAAGAAGGGCTGTCTAGGTTTTTACTTGCAGTCGGTTACGAGCCATCGAATTTGCATCAACCGTCGAATAATCAGGCCGTTTGTTCACTGATTAAATAAGAAATGAATCTCCTGCAGTTTACATTTCCTCAGTTGATCAGGAGAGCAGAACGAGAGGTTTTCCTCCTTCACCTGGAAGGTTTGAGACGTCTGAGACGCTCGGAGGGGTGGGGTACATCACGTGTCACTAATTACCTCACTATCATTGGCCCCAAACTGTCACTCAGTCGCTGCGGTAAGGGAAGCCCAGTGAAGCAGAAGTTACGTGTTGAAGAAAGAATCTCTCTCATATTTATTAGAATCCAGCCCACGAGATGCTGAGTTATATATTCAAAAATGGGAAGCTGTGTAGGTGTTAATGCGACGTCAGTGAATGATACAGCCAATTAAAAATTCTTGATTAGAATGTCGAAGAATCAGGTAAGGAACTTCACAGCTTTCGAAGAAAGCAGTCTTCTGGGATTTGGCACCGTGTATATGTGGTGTTAACCGACGTTTCGGAGGAACGTATCGCCCCCATCTTCAGGGTTGAAGAAGTATAAGTAAGTCTGCTTGACCGTGTCTCACGGTGTTGTCGCTTGCAGATTTACTTATACTTCTTCAACCCTGAAGATGGGGGCGATACGTTCCTCCGAAACGTCGGTTAACACCACATATGCACGGTGCCAAATCCCAAAAGACTGCTTTCTTCATAGTCACCGCCGTGAAAGCCTCAAATCTTTCACAGCTTTCATTTCTATTATGTGAGCAATCCATGGCAACGGGTTATTTACCGAGTCAAACTTCGAGTAACTTCTGCCAACTGAAAGACCCGGGGCGTGCTGACAGTTCATAAGTACTCGTAGGGTCTATAGTATCTCTATATTAATAAGATATGGGTAAGGAGTTGAGGCACTATGCTACAAGCCGGAATGTCGCGGTTTCTATTCCCGACGATGCCACTGGATTTTTTAATTGACCCAATCCTTCCAGTCGCACCATGGCCAAGGGATCGACTTAGCCTCTAACAGAAATGAATATCAGGAATCTTCCTGGGGGTAAAGGGCGGCCGGTGCGTAAGGCTGTAAACCTCACCGCCATCTATGAGCCGATTGTCTAGAAAATTTGGCTGTCTCCACGTCTCACAACCCTATGGACCTGCATGGTCTTTATGGGGAGACGCACTGTAAAGAAAGGGATCGTCTATTTATTTGTTTTTGGGTACTTGGGCACTTGAGGTGTTGCCGTTTTCAACATACACGTATTTCACGTGTTAAAGATAGATATATATTGTTATACAAGATAGAGAATGTACTTGTGCCTTTCCCCTGAAGGCTCAGTCCCGCAAGAGCCCAAAGTTATCTGATATTTTGTTGCTTGGTTACCGTTTAATATATGAAGTAATTACAATGTGGTTACATGGTTGTAAACAGTAGAGTATTGCCTGTATGTAAAATCTCATCCTTTCGTTTTTAGAACTTGAATTTAAAAATAAGAAAAACGGATGGGGTTTCTTGAAAATGCAGTATATTTCATGGATTAAGAAGTTGAAAGTTCAAAGATGTATTACAGAATAATGGAAACAGTAAATATACTGCACGCGCATCGGTCTGTTATTGCAATATCACTTTGTGTTCCTTTGCATTGTCGTTTATACGTGGTTACAAGGACGTTCAAGTGAAACTCGTTTTTTTTATTCATGTTTATACGTCAGTACCGTGGTGGTTCAGAAACAGACCAGAGAATTATTTTCCGGGGGATTCATCGGTTGGTGCCTCAATTCGATACCTGTGTAAACGCCCATGGGTATTACTGTTAACAGCCTCCACTCCTTACAACAGAACAATAACTAAACGAGTTTCATTTGAAGATGCCTTATAAATCCTTTGGGGTTTATTAAAATCATCATTGTGTCTATAACACGATACAAACTGTAATATACACGATGCAATAATTTCTAACTTTCTATTTTTGGGACAACGTGTTAAGAAATAAAATTAATATTGCACCCGTCCACTATGGCACCGTCCTTCTCTTGGACAAGCTCATATTTAAATAGCGGCCATGAAGAATTGCTAGCCAGCCGTCAAGCAATAAAGACATGAGTACGGGAGCTAAGAAATCTACATTGTTGGAAGCCGTTTCCAGGTAACTACCGGTAAAGACATAGAAAACTTTATAAGTGCTGCTGTACTGATCTGTAGAGTGTGAAGATCCGTGAAACTGTTATACTTACTTGTAGTTGAGAATTATGAGCCTTCTATACATCCATTTACGAACTGAAACCCAGTGCTTAGTCACTAATACGTGACAGGTTATACAGAGCACGAAATGGTTCAGTCGCGACAAGCCTATGAATTGTAAGACAGAGACTAGTTGACTTTAACATGAACCTATAAATTCCCAAACACTTGATCACGTCTTGTTCTTTCAAAATTATATCTAGAAGCTGATAAAAGGTATTCGGTCTTTTCCTTTATGTAGAACAGGGGTGTACAACTCTCTGTACGTGGGCCGCATCGAACCCGATGGTTGAGTATGTACGACCCGCTCGAGTATGCCTTAGCGTTTTCATCCTATTAATAAAAGTCAACGAATGTTGTCGAAAGAAATTTGCTTGAAGTGCTCACTAAATGTTTTATCTGTTTCTTGAACTGACGGCTTACAATGTTTAATCAATAACTTGCAAAAAATGCCTGAAGTTACTGTGACCCGAAGGTCGTGTGAAGTATAGGTAAAATCGAATATATATTCAGCAACTGACTTTTAAGCGCCTTCTATATGGCAGCACTGTCTGATATCCTCATTACGCGCTCAGTTCGGTCGCGTTGTCTTGCCACTTGGAATAAAAGCAGAATTATGTCTCTTATAACAAGGCCCACTAGTGGACACGTAAGGCATAACGCCGCCCCTTCATGCATGTAAGTTACACATACGTTAGTATCTTCAGGTCCTGAACCTGCAGTTGTATTGGTCAGGACATGTTGGTGGAGGAGTGGGAGGGAGAGTGAAGATAGTGGTGGGGAAATTTAAGGAGAATATGATGAAGTGTCAAGGAGAGAAGAGTGAAGAGAAAGAGGAGGGATAAGATTAAATATTAGTTTATGTAGAAGTAGAAAGTGGAAATTAGAGAAGGGAAGAAGCAGATGGAAGAGAAAAGGAGATGAAGAAAAGGCAGGTGAGAACAGTAAGAGGATATAGGTTGGAAATTAAGTGTGGTCATAAGAGGAGGAAGAAAATATGGATTTAAAATGTGGAAGATAATTTCTTTATTTTATTCCGTCGACACAAGGAGTTAGTACTGACACATCATACATTCGTCATTTGTTTATATGCTTTTGCTCATTGAGCAATTATTTTATATTTTAATAATAATTATTCTTAGAGTTTAAGACATTTTTACATATAACGTCATTACATACTACTAAAAAACCGACGTTCCATTATGTGAACCCTTCCCGATGTAGGAATACTAGTAGACGAATAGAAGTGAATATGTAACAGGAAAAAGGTAAAGGTATCCCTGTAACACTTTATAGACGCCCACAGGGTTGTGAGACGTCGAGGCTCCCACATTTTGTAGACAATTGGCCAACAGATGGCGATGGGGTTGTCAGCCTTACGCGCCGACCGCTCTTTATCCCCCTGGAAAATTCCTCGTACTCATTTCTGTTAGAGGCTGACTCAGTCCCAAGGCCATAGTGTGGCTGGATGGATTAGGTCAATTTAAAAATACAGTTACCTCATCGGGAATCGAACTCGCTACTTAGTGCCCCTACCAGTTGAATACAGAAAGACGAAGACCTGATGACGAATGTACGGTGTGTGCATGCTACCTGCTGTGGTGACAGACTAAAATAATGTGCCATTAAGGTATAATGCAATGTGCAAGTACAGGTATAAGACGGGAGAGTGACTGAGGATAGGTGAGGTCCGAAAGGGACATATCCATAACTGGAATCCATACAGGCAGTCTACCCCTCACGCATAGACTACCTGGGAGTGACGCCTTATGCCACTTTGTCTTAAGAACCCTCTGTAGAATCGTTTCCTTACCTGCAGCTTCTGTTTGTGGACCAGATCTCCGAGGAGCTTTTGATTTGATGGTGTACTCCGCGTGGTTCGCGAGCTGATTGGGGGTCGTGAACCTTCGTCGTTGTCGTCGTCGTAGTAACTATTGTCGGCTCCAGCAGCCCGACCTGGAGAGAATGGTAGCACAACATTAATAACTATATTGTGTCACCTGCTGAATTTTGCATAAGATGTTCGTTTTTTGTGCTTAATCTGGGAAACATGTGCCTACACATTAGAGTGTTTCAGATAATCTGGATTCGAAATTTTGTGACGTATATGACCATTGATAGGCAACGGCTCGGTAAACACATTCCCGAATTTACGGTTTCAACAGTAGAAGGACATCCTTTGCTGGGTAACGGGTCGCTAAACACGTTTCCACAGGGACGAATAAGCGTACAATAATAGAGCATCTTTTGGAGGTGGTGACTTCTGCTCGGACCTTCCGAAGTTATAAAGGGAGTAGAACCGAGATTGAGAATGGAGTGTGTCTTGGTGATTTAGCCATAGCACATAAGTGATTGTGATTAAGAGAGATTGTAAAAGAAGGCGTCAGTAAAATCTTCCAATCCTGAACCATTTATTGTTAGTCACTGACACCCCGGATGCGTGACAATATCGATGTGTTGTAGGCTAGTACTTTGTTTATATACCGGTATTTCATGAACTTCAGAGTATGTCGAATAAGATGAAAGAATGAAGAAAGTCGTCTTCTGAGTTTAGGCGCCGTGTATTCTTCGTTTTGACACGGCGCCTAAATCCAGAAGACGACTTTCTTCATAGTCATCGCCGTAAAAACCTCAAAACTTACAAAGATGGAAGAATGGTCATGATCTGTAAGCAACAAGTTGGGAACGGTCGTGGCCGATTTCAAGAAACTATCTGCGACTTGTTCTAGGAGATCTAAAATCAATATTTTTTTTTGGCCATCAAAACAACAAATCTTCAAACACTAACACTGGTTTTATTTACCGTCTGCTACGTGCTTCGATCCTCGTTTGGATCATCGGCAGGCAGTTTCTCAAACACGTGCCTCTTACTGAATTGCCCTCATAAGGGTTCATCTTAGTATTATTTTCCAAATTCTTTGATTTACATAACTTGTCATGACACATGTTGGTGCTTTTGATATTGTATTTAACCCTACGGCTAAAATTATTTAAATTTTTATTTGTGACTCGCCGGTATGATGTCAATTTCTGTGATGCTTGTATATCAGAAGGTGATGATATCTTCTGATATTCGTTGTTAATGTTTGTTGTATGTGTTGTGAGTGATTACTCGCGTAGAGTTGTTGTTGCTAGTTACCTATGTATGTATTTCTTCGTGATGAATTTACTTTGGAATGTGTGTTTGTATGCTTCTCTTGTATGTATGTTTTCTTCCTACTACTGAAAATTATTTCTGTTTTACGGTTCTATGTGAACTAAGGACAAGTTTGGAAATACAAGCGCCATGTAAATGTTCTGGCGTGTTCGCCCTTGCGACAAACTGCAATTGAAAAACTCACAGAACTGCTTGTTGTACTCCTGTGTACTATGATGCCGAGTAGTTTGGTAGGTGCAGACCATCACAATAAATACGCGACGAAAGGAACCAGTGTAATGAATGCGAGAGAAAACAAAGAGCCAATACGACAATTTTGCTGTGACAGGGAACCCCCCCCCCTCTCCTGGCTTCGATCTGCCTGTGCTTCTCCGGGCAAGTGACGGGAAATAGTAAGATTCTGAATTTCGAAGCAGCTCTCATGAAGCGTGACTTACAGCCATAATGGAAAGGTAGTTTTTCGAATCATAACCCATCAATCAGCCTAATTGTATATAAAAATGTAACATGTAGACCCGTTGCTAAGTAAAGACTCTGTAAACAAAACCCTTTGCAAGGCAACAGATTCCTAACACATACCAATAGGCAAACTGGGATGTACGCTGTCCGCGCTACAGCTGCGTGACGCAACAGTGGAACTGTTCGAAGCGATGTTTTCTCTAGGATCCTTGCCGGGGTGCTACAAGAACAAGTCCACAGTTTACTTAGTTGGGAGACAGTTGTCGGCAAGTAAGGACGTAAACACGGAAGCTAAGGAAACTACTGCGTTGAAAGCCGTTATCAGACAACGACCGGTGAAAACATAGCAGACAGAAAAGACTTTGTATGTGAATTAGCGAGAGCTATAGTCGGACTTAATGTACGTGACAATATATAACTGTGTGCTTCTCATGTAAAATTAAGGAAGATGAGGTGGACAGCGCATGTAGCACGAATGGGGGATACGAGGAATGCGTATAGGATATTGGTGGGAAAGCCTGAAGGAAAGAGACCACTGGAAAGACCAAGGCGTTGGTGGGTGGACAATATTAAAATGGATCTTAGAGAGATAGGATGTGATGGTATGGACTGCATAGATCTGGCTCAGGATAGGGACCAGTGGAGGGCTCTTGTGAAAATTGTAATGAACCTTCGGGTTCCATAAAATGCTGGGAAATTCTAGCTGCAGAATTGGCGGCTCCTCCAGAAGGGCTCAGCTCCATGAGTAAGTAAGTAAGTGAGTATTTCTCATGTACCGAAGGTAGTGTGTGGGAAAGTACTGTGGGCAAATAGCCGATTTCAGGTTCTGACGAATTTAAACGTGTTGAGGTACCTGGATACGAAAAAGTGTTTTTAGTATGCAGTCTCTCCGTCTGTATGGATGTGCGCCTGAACGGTTCTACGTATTTTATTCATACTCGGTTTTGAAGTATGTATCGCTGAAGATGAACCATATACTCCTCGATACTATGTAACCTCAACACTTGATAGAGGGTGGTTAAGTAATGAAATAATCAATACAGTAAATCAATACAACAAACACACTCGGCGTGTTACCCCAAGTGGGACAGGGTTATAACTTGTTTTCAATACATTTTTGTTTACAACAAACACACTCGGCCTGTTGGCTGAAATGAGACAGGCTTATAACTTATTTTCAATACATAGTTGTTTACAACAAACACACTCGGCGTGTTGCCCCAAGTGGGACAGGCTTATAACTTGTTTTCAATATATTTTTGTTTACAACAAACACACTCGGCGTGTTGCCCCAAGTGGGACAGGCTTATAACTTGTTTTCAATATATTTTTGTTTACAACAAACACACTCGGAGTGTTACTCCAAGTGGGACAGGGTTATAACTTGTTTTCAATATATTTTTGTTTACAACAAACACATTCGGCGTGTTACCCCAAGTGGGACAGGGTTATAACTTGTTTTCAATATATTTTTGTTTACAACAAACACATTCGGCGTGTTACCCCAAGTGGGACAGGGTTATAACTTGTTTTCAATATATATTTGTTTACAACAAACACACCCAGCGTATTGTCCCAGGTGGGACAGACTTATAACTTGTTCTTCAGTACATTTTTATGCAACAAACACACTCGGTGTGTTGGCTCAAGTGGGACAGGCTTAAAACTTATTTTATGGGGTAGCGTAGTTCGAACCTCAACAGGATTACTGGCTATATTGACTCAGATTTATGGTGGTTTTCCTCAGTCCCTCTATGCGAATTTTAGGATAGTATCTTAAATTAGCCCGCGACCGATTCCTGTTATGTCCTTTGCAATTAGTTTTTCACTGTTATCCACGTAGTGGACGTGTAGAATGTCACTTCCTGACAGTCGTTAAGTGAATTGTTAAATAATAAAAATAAAACGAAATGTGCTAAATTGTCTGGCTTTACCCTTAGGTCTGGATGCAGAAAGCATACAAAACCGTAATCGTACTGAGAGTATAGAAATATCCATATTTAAATGTGAATGAGCTTGTCTTCTATAACATAACAATATCCCTAGGGAATAAGGAGCGTAAGGAAACTGAGCAAACTCTTTTAAAAATTCACCCCGCTTTGGCTGTAAATAAGACATTTCTTCCAACTCCTGAGTGACCCCCCCTTTTTTCAGTGAATCAAGGCTGCGCTCCGCTACTAACCCTGTCCGGCCCTTCAGACTTTCATGCCACCGCGAATGGTCAAGTCCGTCAGTCATTAATTTTCAGCTCTGATGAAATAATTGGCTTAGAAAGGATAGAAGAGTTTTGAACTGTACTGGATGTTTTATTTAAATGGAATTAACCCCAAAGCCTCTCATATATCTAATTCAGCCATATTATAAAGTACTTCTAGTGCATGTTCAGAAATGCATTCACTTCTTCGAATTCTAAACTTGTGCATGACGTTAAAGTACATGTACACTGATGTTACAATAAGTTTTCAGTATCTCGATTTACATTCGGAGAGGATCCAGTACGAATTCGGCCGGCCACTAATCCTCATATTGTAGTGGTTCAACAATTCATTCGGATGTATGCCGTGGTAATATTTCGGGCCACGACTGCTAGCTCTCACGTGCATTTTGATTCCAAATTAATAACTATCCTACCATATATACTACAGGGCCGATCACAGTGACCGCGCGGTCTAAGGCATAAAATGTTTTGAAAATGAAGTGAAACGAATTGTTTCACCGATGACTTGTGCTCCAAGCGGGAGCAACAGGAATAGATATATATATATAGATAGATAGATAGATAGATAGATAGATAGATAGATAGACAGATGCATGGATGAATGGATGGATGGATGGATAGATAGACGTAGGCTACAGGACCTTCTAATTAATCAGATGATTAATCATAGTAATATAACTCGTTGGAGTCTGAAATATACGGGTATCTAAATTTTATTTAAATACTGAACCCTTACTCTACAGAACACACTGCCTCTCTATCACAATTTAATGATCATTTTCTTCGGAAAAATAACCCGTGTTTATTCTGAGAATCGTATTGAACACGTAAACTGGATCTGCACTTAGTTACTATAGGATTCTGACGATGGTGTATAACACACTGATATGTTGGGTTTTTGGACTTTATCCATCGTCCTGGTTTTTAAGATAATTGACTGAGGCTAGCTCTTTCTAAGGGACCCAACTGAATAGGTGTTTTCCTTCACCTGAGGACGGAAACAGATCCAGTTTCCGAAACGTCGTGTTTTTATTTGTTATCTTAAAAACCAGGACGATGGATAAAGTCCAAAAACCCAACATATCAGTGTGGATCTGCACTGCGTTGTAAAATTACATTTTTTAAAATGTGTAACTAAGTGATACATTCAGCAAACACTGTACTGTACAGGTGTAACTGGAAGATGTGGACAAATTTTGGGAAGGAGTTCCTCATACCAACCGAAGAAAAAATGCCCATATGAAGAAATAACCGGAAACATTTAGTTTGTGAGTTATAGCTGAAACAGAACATTTATAATAAGTGCTCAAAATGTCATCCGTGAGATTCAGCGCACGCTCGACAAGTCTCACCACGGACCGCCCTATCCGTTCTAAGATCCCGGGGCAGTTGCGGAGAGTGTGACAGAGGTCATTGGGTTTTTCAATTGACCTAATCCTTCCAGCCTCACTGTGGCCCTGGGTTCGACTCAGACTCTAACAGGAATGAGTACCAGGAATCCTTGGAGCAAAGATCGGCCGGCGCGTCAGTCTGACCTCACTGCCATCTGAGAGCCGATTGTCTAGAAAATGTGGGAGCCTCGACGTCTCACAACCCTATGGGCCTCCACGGCCTGTTTCTTTTTAATTCGCTTAGTGAGGGGAGTCCAATTGGCACGGCGGCCACTGATTGGCCTATTGTAGCCTGCCCCGGGTGATTATGATGATGAAGAATTTGGTGGAATGAAGATTGGTAAGGGAAACCGAAGTACTCGGAGAAAACCCGTCCCACCGCCACTTCGTCCATCACAAATCCCGCTTAACTAGACACGGGATCGAACCCGGGCCGCCACGGTGGGAAGCCAGCGACAAACCACTTGAGCTATGGCGCGTCCACGGCCTGTTACAGGGATAGATATACCTTTATCTTTTGCAGGGTACACTAGAGACATGTAAGTGACAATGGTTTGTAGACGTCCGAAAAGTTTACATACGTCTGCAAGTGATCTTATAAAGAACCTGTTAGTATACGTGTTGAGGAGACAGGAGCCCATAAATTCGCACGTGATGCAGACTGTTAGCACGTGGTGGAGTACTGACCTGTGTACTCTGTGGTCACTTTACCGCTCTGTGATTATCATCGGTATGGAAATGTTGCTGCTAACTTTGTTGTGTTTCTGGAATGATGACGGATCGATGAGCTAATTCCTGGCCATAATGCGCTGGAACTGTAATGTGGTGGCAAGGGGGGGCAGGGAGAAGGGGTAGAGGTGTCGATCACAATTTGCTACATACCCTTCGCCGCAGCGGCAGACAGGATTTATTCCAGTCAATGTGATGTTTACAATAGCGTTGCATTGATGCCACGTCGGGCACTATGCTGCCCTAGTCCTGCTCTGTGCTGACCTCTGTGACACAGACCTGCTAGCTTGTACCCATAAGCCATACGTACTGAATTTCCGATATGATATTTGTCAAATTTTGGAATAATTTATTTGTTTATAGTTTTTTAAAAAGGGAAGTACAGCTGCGCAATTGTGCGTAACAAATGAAATTGGAAGGAAAAGTACACATAACATTATTTACAAATCCATATGTGGTCATAAACAAATAAATAATTTACAGTTACGGATACAATCCTATTAATTGTAATTGCAGTGTTTGATATGCGTTAGAAATATTTTCATGATTGAATATCTGAATTATAATTATTGATATTATATAATTATATATAATATGATAAATAATAGAAAATTTTAATTTCTAATAGCTCTCCGGGCACTATGTAAATTTCAGTTATTTTTATAGACATGTGAACTCTGAACCTCTAACATGTTCGCCATGTTAACGACAAAAGTGGTAACTTATAGAATTCGTTCCTTAAGCTCTAAAACATTTTGTACATAGACCTTTATATTGTAGCGTGTAGAGCCGTTGCTATACAACGACCGCGAGATGGGCCAATATATTAGGGCAGTTCTTCGTCAACGGCCTGATAAATATGTTCCCGCGAAACAAACAACAAAACAAAACCCGTTGCTAGGAAGCAGATTCTTAATAACGCAATAATTGGAATACAACAATGGAAGAACTATATTTTCTAAGTGGTCCCTGTCGATATCTTATAGAAGGGGAAATGTTAGAGCTAAGTTCGAAAAATATAAGAGGCCTAACTTCGCGGTGGTTAACCTAACAACCGTTCAAGAGCTTAAGCTGCCGTTGTAGCATAAGATACGCAAGGTAAGCATGAGCTGCTCTGCAACGCCTGTACTGACAGAGGGCTTGTATATAGTGCAAAACGAAGAATTTTATATAACATTCTATATTTGTGATATGTACGCTTCACGAAAGGCCAAGCATATTCACAAGAGCAACACCATTTTCTCATCAGAAAAATAGTCATAACTTGAAGCACAACCTACAATGTAATATGTACGTAATAAAGAATTATTTGAAGCGATACATGTTTGGCCTTCCATCAGGTGGCAGGCCTTTAGACTCACCAACTCCGTGGAGCTGATCCCTACTTGAGAAGCCGTCAGTCGCTCAGCTACTCAAGAATTTTCCCAAATTCTGTGGAACCCTAATGTTCATTACCGTGTTTACCAGAGCCCTCCACTACTCTCTATCCTCAGCCAGGCGAATCCAGTCCATACCACCCAATTCTCTCTCCATAATATTCATTTTAGTATTATTCTGCCAGGTAAACCTAGGTTTTCTTAGTGGTCTCATTCTTTCTAGATTTCCCACCAAAATCCTCTCTGCATTCCTCTTTCATAAAGTAAGAAAATATATTCTCCAATAACTACCTTATTGAGCGGGACCCGTTTATTTACCTCTTGGTTTTGACCAAGGCGGACGAAATATGTATTGGTTCAGATATATAATATATTATTGTATGTACTACAGAGTTAATGGGAGTCGGTATAACGACGGGCCAGAAGCTGGACGGCCAGGTTTCGATCCCCGGTAGGGGCAAGACTTTTCTATTCCCCACAGAGTCCAAACCGGTTCCACTCAGCCCCCACCCCCCATTCCAATGGGTACCGGGGCCTCTTTCCTGGGGGTAAAGTGGCCGATGCATGAAGAAGACCACTCCATTCCACCTAGTACCGAGGTCAAGAAAGGTGGAGCTATACCTCCACTCCCAAATTTGTCTTCATGGCATATAGTTCTACACCCCTTGTGGACCTTGGCCGCTTCTTCAGTTCCTTGCTCTATACATAGTCTGTAGGATTCCTTGGACGGTGGAGCAGTCCGTCGCAAGTCCGCTACTTAAGGTTCGGCCACACAGAGCGCTACGTACGCGACGCACGCTGCGTACGCTATGTTCGCTATACGAACAGAAAAATATCTTCCTTTATTGCCAATGTGACTGGTCACACAGACTTCCGTACGCTACTTACGCTATACTCCCTATCTTAGCTGCGTCGCAGTGTGTACACAGCGTACATAGCGTACGTAGCGAACATAGCGTAGCGCTCTGTGTGGCCGAACCTTTACACCCAGAATAAATGCAGACATCCATGCCTCGAGTGGGGTTGGAACCCACGATCCCAGTGTTCGAGCGGGTAAAGACGATTCATGCCTTAGACCGCGAGGCCACTGTGATCGGTCTTCATGGCATATACTTTAATCATTTAAGCACAGATAAAACTTTACCTTTGCCACCAGTACACAGTAGGATGCATAGATTGGAGAGTGCCACACACAGCCTGCTGAGCACGCGTACGAAACGTCGAGCTCGCACTTGATCACGTGTCACATAACTTCACAGCACAGCACAGCACAGCACAGCACAGCGATCGCCCCACAGACAAATGAGTGCTAGTTGAGTTAATCACGGAAACTACAAGAACAGAGCCTGCTGCTTGAGAAGGAGGAACCGCCCCCTGACATGCGAGTTAGCACCCACCGCCGGTCTTTTCTTAGGTTTCCTGGGAGTTGGGGGCGGATCCTGGCACACGCCCCTCGGAGGCCATGTGACCCCGGCCGCTATCTGCCCCGGCACGCCAGCTCGGGCGGGCCCATATCCCCCCCCCCCCCGGTCACTCAACTGCGCTTTCCTCCGTCTTGAGAGAACACGATAAGCGATCTGTTTCAGCGATGCAGACTGGACAACTTTGATTTCACTGCTTTACGTCGTGGTAGCTCAGTAGATGTAGGTCGGGCTTCGATTCGCGGTAGGTGCAAGAGCATCTTCTCTTCATAAAATTGAGACCTGCTCTGGGGCCCACCGAGCCTCGTATACAATCGGTACTGGGGCCGTTTCCTTGCGGGTAAAGCGGCCGAGGCGTGAAGCTGGAGATTCATCTATCATCCATCTAGTGCCGAGGTTAAGAATGGTGGAGATATGGTCCAGCTCCCCCACACGTCTTCACGGCATAGCGCTTAATTAATTAAGCTCACAGATAAATTTACCTTTACGGCGCATGGGTCACTTATGGGGGGGGGCAAATTTTGGGAGCTACGTAATATTAATACAGTATGTACGGTGTGCGCTTAACAGATGCATTCGGCTGAAGTAATTGTACGCAACATGTCAACATCCATGCTCCCTTATTGGTTCCGATAGTTCGAGTATTAATAGTATTAGGCTATTAGCTCAAAATTATATATGCCATTATGCGAAATTATATTTGAATTAACATTATGTTTAATTATATGCAGACCGACATATTCAGATGTGAGTAAGTTTAATTTGTTCATCACGGTGGACGCGCTGTCTGTCTTCGCTCGCTCGAAAGCTGGGATCGTGAGTTCGAATCCCTCTCAAGACATGGATGTTTGCGTGTGCGTTTATTCTGTGTTAGTGTTATCGTGTGTGTGGGTAGCAGCCTTGCGACGGGCTGATCACTCATCCAAGAATTCCTACTGTGATTACTGGGGACCCCAGGTGGCGCTGTGAAGTGTTGGCTGGTGATATTGATGCTGCTGATTCATGTTATTATCATCACTGTTAGCATTAATTCTATTCTTGGGAGTAACTTGAAATTTGATCTTTTGGGATATAACGCCGTTTAATCGGTCGAAAGTCAACCGACGTTTCGGAGGAGCATGTCGCTTCCGTTTTCATGGTCGAAAAGTAAGCCAAAGAAGAAACTAGCGAGACGCAGGTAGCAAGGAGAGCAAATCATGAAACTTGAAATCTGCGGGACTTAACATCAAAGATATCGTCATCTTTTTAATTGTCGCTTAATTAGAGTACACACAGCATATTCGCATACGTAAGGCCTGTGTCCGTACCAGGTCTCACATGTCTGATTTCAGTGGCTCATTTCTTATCATTACGAAACCGAAATATGAATATAGATTTGATACCGCCACTGATTGGTTGTCGTACATTTTACAGGAGAGGATGAAAACAAACATAACTTACCTTTCAGTGATNGCCCCCGCCGCCATCACTGCCACCGTTATTGGCAAAAATACCGATTCTGAGCCGTAGCCTTCTTTAGAAGATTCTGCCAGGGTTGTTTATTCATATTCAGTCCGGTTTTCGCATCTTTGGGTTTCGCAACAATAATTTTTAAGGAGCAATATCTTCAGCGTTGCCTAGATATTTTATCGCAGGGTTACATAATTTTAGGAACCTCTATTAAGTGGTTCTAGCATCGCTTCCATCTAAAAAATTCATGCTTCCGCCATATTGGTATCACTGAATGCAGAAATATATAAAAAAGCAAGTCTAGTAATTTGGATTAACTTCCAGTTGCATAATACCCATTTCATTAAAATCTGCCCAGGTCTTCTCGAGTTGAAACACGCGGACAGACAGACAGACTGACAGATGTGACCAGCCCGGTATATGCGTTCATTTCTTATACGTCATACATACAGCAGGTAATAATTAAAATACTGTAGAAGCCAGTGGGAGGCGAGCATTTTGTCACGCTGTCCCTGGTATTCTGTGCGGAGCGGTTGCTTTCGGAGTGCAGTCCCTTGTCAGAAGCTTACATATGTAAGTACTGCTGCTTGCTGTAATACGGAAACGCAGAATGCAGCCAAATGTCCTCCTCGTGTTGCGGGTTTGTATTTTAATTCCCTTGAAAGGCTTGGGTAGACAAGAACCCCATCCCAAGTGTATGCACACGTACAGTCGCCTCCACACACACTTGCGTTCCTCTAAGAATCTGAGAAATGTTACACGCAATGAAGTAAATATTTTGAAGGTGTGTAGTTTAGATGGTACTGTGTAGGTTATTGCAATAGCCTCACGTGTCCATCGTCTTATCTCTTTGAAATACTACCGAAACCTGAAGCGTCTGTCTCACGTGTCAGTATGTTGTGTGCAGTTGTAACTTACGGGATTGCAGGAACTTACTCGCATATCATTTCCTCCTCCTTATTCTCTGGATAACTATGGATAAGGTCATTTAGGACAATTACAAAACTCAGGACCCCGGTTGGACCCTATTTTCTTTAGTCTTCCAATCTATTTTCTGACTTTGTGCGTATAATGATCTATGTCCTTTGAAAAGTCGCGTGTCTTCCATCCCTTTGAAACCATTTTACAAAAGCAATCTCTACGTATCAGTATTGTTACACGACGCCCGAAAGCCGGAACAGTTGAGCCAGAGTATACTTTTATTGCTAGGCAGCTTCTCGGTAAACACGTTACCGAGGCAACAAATACGCAAACAGCAATGTAGGGATTGTTAGGGAATGGTGTTTTCTGTTGGATCCTGCCCTTGGCCATATAACGAGGATCCCAGGCCAACTGAGATTTAGTTGAGACTCGAAGCTAATTGAGGGAGATAGTTGAGCTGTCTAAGGGAGGCTGAGAAGAGATGACAATCCAATTTCTCTTAAGGGAACAGCTGGCAGTAAGTCCTGAATGAGAGTCAGTGACGGAAGGATCTGGAAGCCGGAAGCTGAAGAATCTACACTGTTAAGAGCCTTTGTCAGGGAACGACTGGTTAAAATACAGCAGGCTGGAAAAGCATAGCGACTGCTGTGGTGACTTGTAAAGTATGGAGATTAGCGATAGTGCTGTAATTACGTGTAGTTATCACTAAATGCAATTATACAGCTCATACCCCGTCTAAGTGGCACAACCAAAATCGTTTACGATATTGAATTATGCCAGTTCCGCCCTAATTACTGTGTTGTATAAATAGTCCCTTCTGGAGGCATCTACAAACGTTCTAAGAAATTTCATTTCTTGACCTGTCATTCTGTTCATGGGCTTATTTCTGTTTCGCGCCATTGACTAGAAATGAATGTTGTTTCAGAGCCGTTCACCGGCAACGGCTGTTTCTCTGGCTCCACAATTCTTGCTCTGAGCAAATATGCCACAATATAGTTCTAGGAATAACTCTATCGACACAGCCGACAACACAGTGCAATGTAAATGCCGTTATTACTTGGTGCACGTATTCAACGTATTAACACGTGGTGAGATCACTGCACTGTACCTGATGCAGAAACTACAAGCTAGTTAGCTGTGGGGTTCCCGCACAATGGCATGATTGCCGCCTGCCTGCCAGGAAACTGTTATGCCCCTTCGTCATAAGACAGTGCCACCAAGTTGCGAGCAGGTGACGCCTATTGTGGGCAGGTTTCCTGCTTCAGGAAGCAGTTAACTATCACAGGCAGATTACGCGTCACAACAGTTGTATTTTCCTTTCTGAGGAAGCTTTCAAGACATTTTGTGGGTGACTTTCAGAAGATTCATAATAGCCTGTACGACGCTCATTACTAGTTGCAGGCAAGGCACACATCCTTGAAATTTTTCTCTGAAAAAGCCGAATTTATTCACATAATTTTCAGTAAATAACCTTAAGCATTGCGCAGTCGGTACAGCGACTGGTTATGGGCTAGACGGCCTAGGGGTCGAACTTCGAGTACCCGTAGGGGCATGATTTTTTTCCTCTCCCGTTTTCCAAACCGGCCCTGGAGCCCACCCAGCCTCCTATCCAGTGGGTACCGGGGGTAATTTCCCTGACGGTAAAGCGGCCGGCTCGTGAAGCTGACCAGTCACTTCCACCTAGGGCCGAGGTCAAGAAAATATGGATCTATACATCCACTCCCCCATATGACTTCATGGCATAGTGCTTAATTAGTTAAGCACAGGGAAATTTTACCTTTACTTAGACAGAATACCGATTTTTTCAACGGTATGGATGGCTACGCACAAGCGTTCTTCTGACGGACACCGAGGCGAGAACTCTCCGTATTTTGTTGCATGTTTTTCCCGAGGCACATCAGCAGCATTGTTTATATGCGTCGTGTTTTATTAACGTAACACATTTTGTGATTTTCTCGAAATTTTGAGCACCTTTCTTCGGAATAATGAATCTCACTTGAAACCAGATTTGTGATTTCAAATGCATGGACGTTAGTCACTTGGACAATTTTGTCAATCGACGAAGTATGATATTAAAATGAAGCATTCAAAATGAGAAGCAAGAACTGAGGTTCTGTAGGCCTATGTTTGCCACGGTTTCTGATACACTTTATTAGGTATTCTGTCTTAAATATCAGCTTTTCAAACATTGGTTTTTAATGATTAAATCGTCATTGGAACTTAATGAAGAGACACTTAAATTTCAAGTATGTGATAATGTGCTGCCTGATCAGGGATATCGTACACGTCAGGGAGCAGTGATGGATGAGTATGGAGCAAAGGTAAAATGATGACTAGCATGGGGAAATCGAATAAACTCTCAGAAAATTTGTATCAATGGTGTTTCATACATCACGAAAAGGATTTCAGTTCACACAGGATTGAACCCAGAGCTCCAGCGTGAGAAGGCAGCATCTGAGCTACGTCACGACTCTGTAAAAGATGGTATCATCAAGGAAAATGTAGGAATTATCCAGTAACACGCATGTAAACTGCAAGGACATAATTTGCACAGTTCTGCTAAAATTTATGTTATTCGCTTTTGGAGCGTTAAAATTGAA